AAGTAGTTGGGGCAAAGGAGATCTGAAGAGTCAGTAAGACCTGTAACAGGAAACACTGTGCCAGAAAGCTCTTGAGACTAGTCTTTAATGGCAAATGGTTAAATCATGTCCATTTGGAACACCCTCACCGAAATCTAGCTGTACGCTTAAAGCACAAAGCTACCTGCGCAGGACTAGCCCCTAAGGCTGTAGCCGGTTTTCCACTTTCACCTCAGGAAGTCAGGATCTACCCTTCTTTGTAATTTCCAATGAAGGCACAGCACCACTCTCGGACACTTCCCTAGGCTTCACCTGCACATCCTACAGCCTCTCACAAGTCTCCAAGCACCTTTACCTGTAACACTTGCATGGGTGAACTCTGAATAACTCCATCCATTACACAATCACGGCAGGGCACAGGAGGAAATACAAACTTATTTCAAAGTTTCACTGTGACCAAAATTATGCCCTATTACCACCTAAATACCCACAACAAATTATTTGTTATTGCCAGAAGGGAGCCCATGAGAAATTCCAGATGACTTAGAACAGTGCAGGTTTTAACCCATGCTATAAGCTAACCTTTTAGTCTAGAACTAGTCCAAAACTTGGCTTTTCATCATGTTTGAGCAACCTGGCCTGGTAGAAGGTGTCCCTGCCCATGGCAGGGGGTTGGAACTGGATGAGCTTTAAGGTCCCTTCCAACCCAAACCACTCAGGGATTCTGTGTTTCACCATGCAAGCACAATTCCCAAGCCAAGAAACCTATCAGATTAACGGTTAAGGAAACTGTACATTGTTTAAAAGTAATTATTAGGATACCTTTGTGGGAACCAATTCGACATTAAGAGCTTATTACGTGGTCAGGCCAATGGTCTGCTATATTCAGAACAACTTTTCTATCCTCTTGCAAAACCTGTGTTTTCCAAAGCAACACGGATGGAGGAGGAAAAGAGAAAGCTGCTTCTCAAATACTGGAACCTGTGACCACTGAAAATGAAACTGTAGCAAGGTTCACTCAGCTCAGTTAAAGCTCAGTTTCAGTGAAAGCAGCAGTCTCCTGATGGAACCCCAAAACCAAAAGAGAAACATGGGCTCTGAAGAGTGAAACCTCTTCCTCCTGGTTACACAGATGCCCTATGGCTAAAGCAGAGAAGCAGGCATTGCACACCTTTCACTCTGCTCGCATGCAGCACTTGGCTTTGCCCAAGTGACTTCCAAATAAACGATCCAGGCTTCTGGATCCATTCTAAACATAACCCAAGCAATTCCCTCCCACAAAACAGACACTTTAATCCTAATTGGGAAGGGGAGATTTTAAGTTTACCTCTATGTGCAAACGAGTGGGAAGGAGCGTACTTGAGAAAGCTAAAGAGAACTAATGCAAAGAGGCCACATGTGTACTTTGACACCAGCGAGCTCCATATTCAGCACCCACTTCCGTGGCTCGTATTGGTAATTTCCAAGACTTCTCCGTATTAACACGGATGTCACGAAGAAGTACGACATTATTGCAATGGAATACACTCCAGCATGTTACTTTCAGGTTGAGACGAGCTTCTCAGGTAGCTAATAACTGACCCAAGGGACAGATCCGGCTGTCAGGACCAAGGTGTTGAGCTGTCCTCTATCTGATGTGCAGCCAGTTCAGACGGCATTAGGGCATCGTCTTGTGACAGCTTGTGTCTCTAGGCAAAACACTCTCATCATGTGCCTTCTCTATCACCAACAACTCTTCCCAACACAACCTGCTTCACCCCAAGACTCTTTCCCACTCCGACTTGTCTTCAAGAGCACTTAGGGCAGGCACTCCTTTTAGCACCCGAAGGAAAGGTGTGAGGTGGAGGTGCAACAGCCGTGGGCCAGAGAGCACTGCTAAGGAAGCTTCTTGCCTCTTCCCCACCAGAAAGGACAGGGGGTCCCCTTGAAGCCAGCCCGAGGTGGGAGACCGACACCCACTGCCCTACTCAGAGAAGGGTCCTCTCCCACCTTCCCGGCACTCCCACCCTGGGATGGGGCAGAGGACCCGCAGGGCTTACCTAGCTTGTCCTGGCTGACTCCGTTGGAGCTGCTGCAGTTCTCCACTAAGGTGCTGGTCTCCTCCCGGTGTAGCGCAGCCTCCCCATCCCCGGGCGGCTGCTCGGGCTTGGAGCCGCTGCGGGAGTGCTGCCTGCTGCCGTGCGAGTGCCCGTGGCCGTGGGAATGGCCGTGGCCCCCCACGCCGTGGTGGTTGAAGAGGCAGAGCCCCAGCAAGTTGATGATGAGCCCCGCCACCCCCACGCCGATGACCACCAGCGGCTGCTGGATCTCGTGGGGCTCGGTGAAGCGCTCGATGGCCTCCAGCAGGATGGTGAAGCAGAGGGCGGTGAGGAAGACGGCGTTGACGAGGGCACCCATCACCTCGGCCCGCACCCACCCGAAGGTGTTCTTCTTGGTGGCACGGGTGCACTGCGCGAAGCGCACGGCCACCAGCGCCACGACCAGAGCCATGACATCGGAGAGCATGTGGAAGGAGTCGGAGAGCATGGCCAGCGACGACGTGACCCGGCTCACCACCACCTCCACCACGAAGAAGAGGAAGGTGAGCGCCAGCATGCACAGCAGCCGCGCCCGCCGGTTCTGCCACCACCGCGGCCCGCCGGGACCCTTCGCCGCCATCCCCCCGCACATCGCGCCGGGGCAGAGGCTGCCGGCCCGGCCCGGCGGAGGCGCGAGGAGAACGGTCGGCGCTGCGAGCGGCCCGCGGCGGAGCCCCGAGCGCGATCGCGGCCCGTTCCCCGCGGGCGGCGGCCCGGACCCGCCGCTGCCTCCTCAGGCGCTGGGCGAGCAAACTTTGCACCCGAGCCCCCTCACTCTTTCCACACGGAACCCGAACCGGCGCGGACACGCCCCCCTGCCGGCTCCCCATTGGCCACCGCGCCCCCACCTCGCCCCGCCCCACCCTCGGCCTCCCTTCTCATTGGCCCGAAAGCCCTCGCGACAGGAGGCCACGCCCCTTCGCTGCCTCCCGTTAGGCCTCATCCGCCCCGCCCCGCCGGGGCGCCAGCGGTGGCTCCCATTGGCTGAGCCCCGCGGCTTCCCCGCCCCGCGGCGAGCGGGACTCGTGCAAAAGGTTCTCTCCGCACGGCCCGGCCGAGCGCGGGGCGGGGCTCCCCCTGCGGGACGGGCGGAGCGGGGCGCGTTCGGTGCGGGGAGCCGGGGGTGCCGGTTTGTGTCGCCGGTGGGGTCAGACCTGAGGGAGCCGAGCCCCGGGAGCTGCCAGCGCCGCCACGGCCGGGGAGAGCGGGGAGGTCCGCGCCGGGACTCGAACCCCGGGAGTCGGGGCCCTTCCCCAGGCGCGTGCCGCCCCCCCCCCCTCCGCCGTTGTCCGCGCTCACGGTGCGGGGTGTGCGGTGTTCCGTGGGGTTACGGCACGGCCGGGAGCCACGCGGCCTCGCAGGCCCTGAGGCGCCAGAAACGGCCTTATTGTAGCATCGCGGGTGCTTCGGGTGGGAAGGGACCTTAAAGATCATCCGGTTCCACACCCCTGCCTCGAGCAGGCACACCTCACACTCGAGCAGCTTGCTCCAAGCCCCTGTGTCCAGCCTGCCCTTGAACACTGCCAGGGATGGGGCAGCCACAGCTTCCCTGGGCACCCTGTGCCAGCGCCTCAGCACCCTCACAGGGAAGAGCTTCTGCCTTATCTCCAACCTGAACCCGCCCTGTTTCAGCCTGAACCCATCACCCCCTGTGCTATGGCTGCAGTCCCTGATGAAGAGTCCCTCTCCAGCATCCTTGTAGCCCTCTTCAGACACTGGAAGCTGCCCTGAGGTCTCCATGCAGCTTCTCCAGGTTGAACAGCCCCAATGTTCTCAGCCTGTCTGCATACAGGAGGGGCTGCAGCCCCTGAGCATCCTCATGGTCCCTCTGTGCCTGTCTGGGGAGGGAAGGAACCAGCACCCAGCCCCAGCTGTTGGATCCATGGGCATGTGTTCCAGCTGCCACAGTGCATCCCAGCAGCTTCTTCCTGCTGCCTTTCCTGCCCCCAGTTTGTTCAAGGTTTGGCCTTTTTGCAGGCCCAATGAAAGAAAGTCCCTGGATAGTAACTGTTTGACTAAACTTGTAGTTTAAAAGGGGAAAGGAAAGCAAGTATTTTGAGACCCGGAAAAATGACAAAAATGTGATCACAAAAAAGCCCAAACAAATCACAAAAGTTAGCAGAAGGCAGAGCTGACCTCTTGCTTTGCTTGCTCTGTTCCAGGGAGCCAACAAACATGGCCACAAGAGAGTGAGCATCCAAGAACATTCCGGGAGTAGAAAATGGAGGGGAACCAAACAGCCATAGCTATTTGTAGCTGTAGAGGTGTTGCTGTGTGTAAGAGTACAGAGAGGCAGTAAGGAAACTGGTGCCCTGGAAAGGAAGATCCAGCAGGAATGCACACGCCTGTTGCTACACTTGGAGATAACTCCTCTTCTCCTTGACCGAGAACATTGGGGCTGTTCGGCCTGGAGAAGAGAAGCTGCGTGGAGACCTCAGAGCAGCTTCCAGTGTCTGAAGGGGGCTACAAGGACGCTGGAGAGGGACTCTTCATCAGGGACTGCAGCGATAGGACAGGGGGTGACGGGTTTAAAGTCACAGTGATGTGGGAGCCGTACAGAGGTTCCTGACAGCTGGAGCTGGGTGGGGGCTCCCGTTCATTAGTAAATGAATCAGTGTAACAGAGGCCCGTGTGTCAGGACACGCTTCCCTGCACTCAGCAGAGTCCCTGTGAGCCCACGTGTGTCCATGCACCGCGCTGCTCTGCTCCATGGATGCCATCCCCTCTCCTCCCTGGCTCTGCAGCGCTGTGCTCTCTGCAGACGCAGCTTGGCCACCGCAGGTCCTGCTGTACTGACCTGCGACCCTGCTTTCCTGGGGTTGTTCACATGTCAGTATCGAGGTGTGCTGTGTTTTTAGCTTAGCGGTAGGAACCCATGTGGGACACTTTAATGACCACTGTAAGAGTCAGTAATTAGATTGCTGTAACGTTCTCCTCATCTCCTTGGCTTCCCGTGTGCTGTAACACCATTTAATAAGATGTTGTAAATAGCCAGGAAGCTGACCAGCAATCACACTGAAACAGAACATGCCCATGTCCTCTCCTCCTCACCCCCACGCAGGGCCATTAGTTTATAAGGAAGAATTAACCGATTTTAAGATACTGGGTCAAAGAAACTGGTACAGCTCAAAGCTTTTTTAATTCCTGAAGGTGGGGCAGGTTATAAATTTACAGGGATTGGTGTCAATCCCATGGAATTTAGCTCGGAAGGAAGGGAGGATGAGGAGCTCGATGCCTCATTGGCTGGACTTCAGGAATTACTGAAGCTGAGCATTACTCTTTCGCCCCCATGATGTTTTTGTAGTTTGCTTGTAGTAAGAAAACTTCTTGTAAGACTGAGTGCTTGTAAATGGAATAAACAGGATATCAGTATCAGTACCACCCTTAGGGATAACGTTTCTTCACCACAAGACCTCTTACTTTGCTAAAGGATACCACACCACTGGTCAATCTGCTGCTGTCTTCTCCTTAAGGGGCATGTTCTTGATCCTGCCCTTGTTGTGAGATAGCTCTTCCTACTATACCAGACTGAATGCTGAACTCCTCCTGGGGCCAAAAGCCAGAAGACATGGGCCATATAGCTCAGGAGAGAGGGAGGGCACAGTTTCTTCCCAGGCAAGGGGTAATAATGGTTCCTCAGGCCTTCCACTGCTCCCTGGTGAATGGGACTGGGTTTATGGTTTTGTCCTGTGGGACCCAGCAGCCACTGTTGCCTTCATTGCCTGCCGATACAGGAGCTTTGAGGAACGATCCCTGTGGCAGCACAGTCCCGTTGCCAGCCAGGTCAGGCACAGACCGTGCAAGAGTTCACGTCGCTGCCTCTTCCCTGGACTCTTTCTCATGAACCAGTTTGCTCTGCACTGCTGTTCCCAGGCTTTTCTATTGTATTCCAACATCAGCATCCAGGAGGAACAGGGATAGTTCCTAAATTTAAGGCTGTCCATCTGGCAACATTATAAATGTTCAGATTAACAGGAAAGTGACTGACAAAGGTACTCAATGAAGCCATAAATGGTGTGTTGCAGGAGAACAGGGTGTTCCTGCCTATGCTTTTGAGGAGAATGCTGTGTCTTCGGAGTAGGGAGGACTCCAGGTTTTTTGTCGTTGGGTATTTTTGAGGCTTCCAGGCATTGTTCTTGACTCACCCAATTCTTTCTCAGCTCAGCTTCCGGACTGCACATGTGGAAGGACCCGTCTCCGAATCTGCCTGTGTACCATAAACTGCGTGCTGAGGGGAGGAGTGACTCTGACTCTGGCACCCAGCCTCGTGCCAGCCCTGCACTGGGTGACAAGGGAGTGCAAAGCTAGACAGAAAGCTGGGCTGGTTCTGCAGGGTGTTCTGCACCGGGTGCTGCTGAGTGCTCTGGAGGCAGCTGTGGGAAGGACTTTGGTTGGAGATTCGCTATTACTCAGCATGTTTGCTGGGTAAATAAAGTCACTGCTTTTTCCTCCGAGTTCCTGGGCAAGGTTGCATGGGGAGAGGTCTGTGCCAGGGGGGACGGTCTTCAGCACTGTGCCTTCCACCTGGAAAGGTGAAGCCCTGCCTCTAAACCGCTAATGCAATCACGTATTACAGAGCACGCTGCCTCCTTTAACACCTAACTTGTTCCCTTTCTGTGCAGTCATCAGAACTGCCTGCTTTTAATAAAGGCTTGTGGGACTCTGGCAAACATGACTCCATCTGTCTGCTCCACTTCAAGGCTGTCAGTGTTCATCTGGGGCTGCTTCTCTTGCAGGCAATGTCTCTCTCTGGTAGCTGTCCTTACAAGGCTTCTTCAAATGAAACCCAGTCAGCAACACGAAAGCCAACAGAAGCATTCCCTGTCCAGTTACCTCCATCAGCAAGGTTGTTCCTTGTAACGAAAAACGCTACAAATGGAAAGCGAGTATTACTGTTCACACAGCTCTGTGTCAAATTCACTGTTACATCCCAATTCAGGAAAGCAGCTTTATCAAGGAAAGGATTTAAACATGTGTTTGCAGTTCATTAAAAGGCCTTCTTTGAACAGAGGCAAGTTAAGCATGTGCTTACATGCTTCTGTTTGTGACCTGTGAAGAAAAACTGCAGTTGTAATTGGCACTAAGATAGGAAATGAAGAATGCCTTGCTCTGTTAAAGATGTTCCTTCTTCTACCTGCTTACCGTGGCTGTGAAATCTCAGCTCTTTGGAGTCAGTGTTAGGACTCCAGGCAAATGGAGAGGTCAATGTATCCTCCACTGTGCTTCAGAACCTTGCAAGGCAAGGTAGAAACTCCACTTCTTTCCCTTCCAAAATGTTTTCTCCCTAATAGAGAGACAACTGCTTCAAGAAGAGGCCTTTCTTATGTCCAGTGCTGACCTTTCTAGGTTAGTTATTTTGCTTTCTTGCTGTCAAGCCATTTGATCCAATGGCATTTGGCAGCCTGTAACTGCTTCCTAACTTCTGGCACAATTAACTGCACAGACAATCTATATAACTGTTTGTGATGAATGTGCTTTGTTGGTTGGGGTTTTGTTTTCAGTGGACTTCAGAGCATTTCCTGGCTGCTTTGGTTACACTTTTCCTGCAAAATAGTTACTCTAATCAGCTGTGAAGCTAATGCTAATAACATATTAGAGCTGATGCTTGATTCAGCTCAAGTGGATCCTAAAAAAGTCACCACCATATTAATCATTAAAGGAAAGAAGTCAGACAAAAAGGTGGTGTTATTCACTTTTGCTCACGGTGCAGCTCCTCTCTGCTGGAAAGACAGTAACAATGATTCAGCAGGAGTGGGAAATTCTGTGAATAGGGAATTCATGGAGTGAACAAGTCCCTCTGCAGCTGATTGGTTAGTGGCATTTTTAGTTCTTGCTGAAATTGTCCTTCCTACAGCATTTTTAATAAATCATATTGTTAAGCTCTAGCTTCTGTTATCTTAAGAAAGAGCAGAAGATTGCTCTGATCTAAGCCAGTTCTCTTGGACTTGTGGTGACAAGTATCAATGAATCAATGGGTATTTGCTGAGGACAGCCACTGAGAGAGATGTATGCTACTCACTGCGGTGCCTGCTCCACCTACCTGCAGCATCAGGCCCTGTCAGAGAACGTACAATACTTTCTGGCATCAAAGTTGGATATTTGTGGGCAGGGATTTCCTTTGTCACTGTAGGGTGCTGGATTTCATTGGTGTAGGGTTTCTAATGGTCTCTTGCTGGAAGAAGGTTGCTCGGGTCCTTTGAGGTAAGTCAGGTCCCTGCAAGAACAGCTAATGCTGTAGGGAAAGGATAAACGTGCATGTTCTGGCATTTGGAAAGCCAGTTTGAAACTCGTTCAACAAGTGCAGCTTTGTGTTGTGTGAGGCTGCAGAGCACCTCTGTGCCAGAAATGTCCTGTGGTGGCACATCTGGCCTTGAGAAACAGGGCCACGCTCATACACCTCTGTGTGTCCTGGGGACTGAATGAGGCCACGTAAGAGCTTGGTGTGAGAGCAGTATTGGCTCAGAAGAGGAAGATCCCCAGGGAAACTGGAATGAAGCCATCACTGGCTGTGTACATCAGAGCACAGCACTGCCAGGGCACCGGCGCCCCTGTGCAACACACAGCCTCCCACTGACCCAGCACCAACAGGTCTGAGCTGGAGGGCAGCCTCAGGCTCATCCTCGGCAGGCAACCCAGGTACTCCTGGTGTTTCCAGCCAGCTCCTCTACCACACATCCCTCCTCCTCACCGCCACAACACACATCAGACAGAGACTGTTTCTGCCTCTCTTGATCACACAAAGTCCCTTTATGTAATGCCCTTCAAGGGGTTGAGCTCTTGCTGATGAGCTTCAAGGACAATAAGCTTCAAGGGCAGTGAGCTTGGCAAAGGACACGCTCATCATTCTACCATTTATATATTTGCTATTAACTCTATCAACTTGAGATGGATGAATTTCCCTTTATTACCCAAATTGATATCAGTATTTACTTTGCTGCTAAAAGTGCCTTCGTTAGATCCCGTTTAGGTCTGTAGGTGCTGTTAATACCTGTTCATCAGCCATTAGCCAAGCTCGTGTTCTGGTGTTCCCAACATAAGAAGGACACGGAGCTGTTGGAGCAAGTCCAGAGGAGGCCACGAGGATGCTCAGGGGCTGGAGCACCTCCCATATGCAGACAGGCTGAGAACACTGGGGCTGTTCAGCCTGGAGAAGAGAAGCTGTGTGGAGACCTCAGAGCAGCTTCCAGTGTCTGAAGAGAGCCTATAAGGGATGCTGGGGATGGACTCCTCATCAGGGACTGTAGCGATAGGACAAGGGGTGATGGGTTTAAACTGAAACAGGGCAAGTTCAGGTTAGATCTAAGGCAGAAGCTGTTCCCTGTGAGGGTGCTGAGGCGCTGGCACAGGGTGCCCAGAGAAGCTGTGGCTGCCCCATCCCTGGCAGTGTTTAAGGCCAGGTTGGATGGGGCTTGGGTGGCATGGTCTGGTGTGAGGAGAGCTGGAACTGGATGATGTTAAGGTCCTTTCCAAACCATCTATGGTTCTGTGACAAACTGCCCTTTCTAAGCTGTAGATAACTAGAAAGAAGCCGTTCTAGCAAATGATGCCATATAAGTAATGCCATCCACTGAAAGCAAGTCTGCACCCACTGTAACATTTTCTGCAGATTCTGAGACCTGTTTGAAAAGCATCTCTGCCCAGAGCAGAAGTAACATTTTCTTCAGTCCCAGTCATGGAACATTTCTTCTCCCCAGGGCTGATACTGTGATTTGGAACATGCTGTGATCCCAGCTCCGAGACCTGCTGACACTGCTCCTTTCCCCGGGCTTCAGTCGTGGCCTCCACAAAGGGGTGGAGACATGAAAGTCTGTTCTGTGTCTCATCACCTCTTTTCTTTTCAAGGATCAGTTGTATTTGATGTTTGTCAAATCACACTCCAAGACAGCAACCATAAACATGTTAACTTTACACTCTGCAAGTAAATCTGTTCATTTTCAGAACTGCCTTCCACAGAGGCTGTTTTGTGGTCAACTTAAGCTGGTCCAAGTAAAACCCAGTTCTGAAAAAGGGCAGTTCACTTTTCCTCTTCAGAAATGACATTCCTGTCCCCAAGCAGACCTCAGAGCTAGGAGTTAGGACATACGCTATGAGGGGCATCAGCTCTGCCTGGGAGTGCAACCAAAACCAAATTCTTCATCTTCAGCATTAGTTTTCAGCCAGTTCAGCAACTTATTCCTATTTACCAAGGCTGCAGGACTGCTGGAGCTGACCCATGGAGCCATGTGATTAGGGCAGGGAAAAGTGTGCGACAGAGAACTGGCAGCAACCCACAGCTGCTGATGCTGATCATGAAACCACAGCCTCAGCTCCACAATAAGGGAGGGATTCATGCCTGAGAATTGGTAGCTAACACACAAACGTCTTCAGATCACGAGCCTCCCTTTTAGGGCCAACAGAGATCTAATCAGCTTTGTCAGTGGAGCCTGCAGCGTGGTTTATCTCCTCCTGCAGTGCTATGGACTTGATTAGATGAACCCCATCCTTACAGTGCGTTTCTGTCACTGACTGTAAAGAAAACCTGGTGTGAATAGCTCAGGGATTAGGTCAAGAGTTAATGAGGTGACTTCTGCCCCCAAGTGTTAGTTCTGCCCATTATAAGACAAAGATTTTTTCTTACTCCTACATTAAAGCACTAGTTAAGTGAGTTTTTTAATGCCACAAACTGAACAATGTCAGAAGGAAGAGTAGAATCCAGTGGCCCATCTTGTTAATACCAGTGCTTATACTAATACAGCAGCAATGTGCTGTTCAAAGCCGTGTCTCCAAGCTAAAATTAACGGGTGTAGAGGAGGTGTTTTGATTTAATCAGTCTTGGAAGCAAAGAGGAGTGGTGGCTGCTTTTAGAAAGCAGGTCGTTTATGGAGTGATGAAGCAAGGAGGAGCCCCACTGCAGGCATGAGTGTTCAGAAAACCTTAACCTAAATCTCAGAGACTTATACAGTTCATTATAAATGGCTTTTCTCATAGCAAAATAGCAACTGGGAACACTGATTCTTGAAAGCTTTCTTTGCATTGACCTGCTTCTATTTAGCCAGATGTTTCTGTCTTAACGTTTAGGAAAACAAAAGTTCACATCAGCACGGGATGATGAAATGGTGCCACAGTAGCTGCAGAGCCAATGGAACCCATTTGTACCACTGCCAAGATGACAAAGCAAATATGAAATACAGCAGCAGCCGTGGCTGGCCCGGGAAAGACTTGTCCATCAAGTTCCCAAGTAATCCGTTTGTGAAACATGTGCCCTTATTGACTGACAGTGTCTATTATCTGCTTAGTTAACAGTGGGGATAAAGGTATTTTTCCTGCTGTATTTCAAGCTCTTATGCAAAAAGCTGCAGTTAAACTGTGTATAACCTTAGGATGGTGAACAGTGCCAAGGTCTCGGAGGATGCTTATTCAGTTTTTTATTAGCCACATGACAGACAGACTTTGTGAGTTTGCTGATTAGAGAAACCAGAGCCTCTTTCTTGGAAATTTCCCTATAGGAAGAGATTCTTGTAAAAAAATGGAATAGGTACATAAGCAAAATAGGTGCTTATTTGATGAGCAGCACCACAGCACACCAGTGTTGTTAATGCACTGGTATGTGCACTATATCATTGCAGGGATATAAAATCACTATAAGCACTATCAAAATACATACACAGATACTGTTAAAAATCAATGAGTTAGATCTTTTTCAAGCTGGCCTTCAGAGCTTCTCTGCTTGATAGTAATGACAGCCAACATCTCTATGTTTAATCCTAAGTGGGAAAAATGCTTCCCACATATTTCAGATTCATGGAGACTTGACTGCAGCCTGTACGTGCACAGAAAGACACCCAAGAGCATCCATGTGTCCATGTTTCCCCAAGGAGTCAGGCTGGGCTGACACAGTCCTCCATGGGAGGCTCCCACACCAGTGGATTCCCCTCTAGGACACTGTCTGTGTGGGAGCACAAGGAATTGGGTGTGCACACTGCTGAGATGCTGGGGATGGCAGCACGCAGGCAGCACGTGGGCTGGGAGGAGCTGCTCCATCTCTGTTGTTACTTCACATGTAATGGGTTCCTGGCACTGGCTCCAGCCTCATCTAGCACTTGGCAGTGCTGCACCGCCCAATGCTTCCTACAAGCATAACTGAGCCTTCTTGTTATTGAGATGATTCATCCTGCCCCCGCACACCAGTGTCCTCCTGACCTCCTTAGTCTCTCCTTGCTTGCTGTAATTGTGTCACACAGCCTGTTTGTGCTCCTCAGGATAGTAACACAGGTCCTTGCGCGTGGACTTCCTTCCCTGACAGCCAAAACGCAGCAATTCACATGCCACCTAATTCATGGGCAAAAGGAGGGTCTGTTGCTCCCTCATCACCTTTATCTTATGGAAAGCATCCTTAGGGCTGCCCAAAGGCAGGTCCACAGGCAGTGAAGCCTGCCCTGGTCTCCAGCCAGGCACTCAGCCTCCAGTGTGCCCTGCCCCAGTTACAGAGCTTGAGGAGTGACTGACGCACCCCATGTAAGCCAAACCTGGAGGCAGCTCAGTTTCATGTTCCTACATTATCTGCTCTGCCCAGCAAGGGAACTCTGCAGAGATCATCCCTCTGTGCTGGCAGGATAGCAGCAGTGCTCGGGGACCCTCCTGCCTGCAGCAAAGTGACAGGAGCAGCAGTAAGCAGCGCCTTGTGCTCACTCCTGATTATCTGTGAGATGGAGCCTTTGGAGGGGAATAGTTCAGCTTTTCCTTTCCAGGCAGCCTGAGCGTCATGATCGGCAGTCCACACACCGAAGCCTGCTGAAGCCACCGAGGTGGCAAAGCAGCTAATAATTAAACCTGGTTTTACTGCAGGAGAAATGCTTCCGTAGCCAAGCACTGAGGAGAACACAATACTCCTTCTACATCAAAAGAATATGCAGATACCCAGGGTAAACTCTGGCCTGCACTTAGCATGCTGATTTCTGTGCTGCTATCTACTTGCCCTGACAGTTCCAGTGAGATCAGTGAGTTCTTCAACCCTCTTAGCAATCCTCAGGGCTGTTAATCTCAAAGGGAAGAGGGGAAGTAGTTGCATTTCCAAGACGGACTCAGTTTGTGGAATTTCAAATGACCACAACTGTAGCATCAAACATGCACACAAATCTTGGCAACGACAGACGTGGTCATCTTCCCTCTGAGTGTTATTGTCAGTGTAATGTGCACATCATGTTCACACACACACACACACACACACACACACACACACACACACACAGAGCGAGCAGATGTGGTTCAGAAGGCAGGTTAAGAGCAAAGATCCCTGCTTTCCGAAGCCCTGGGGAGATGCTGCTGGCTGGCGCTGAGGACTCGTGCAGTGATCAAACAAACAATGTAATATTCTGGGCTTTCTTTGTTCCAGTAAAAAACCCAAAACAACGAAAACCAGCGAGACTGAAAAACGCAAAGGAAATGGAGCAGACAGACAAGATGGAGCAAACACAGCAGGAGGGGAGAAAAAGCAAAGGTGAATAATAGGCAGAGTTACTTCTATCAGTTCCAAAGTTCTTGCCTCCTGCTGCCAACCTTGTGTACTCGTTGGGCAGTGGGGGCAGTTTCTGCAAGTTTCTCTTTAGCTAAGATCACTTCTTAATAAGATGTGTTATTTGTAAAAACCATGAGGGTATCACTTTGTAAAAACATCCTTCTTCAGGAAGTGATGAAACACTCGCTCAGTTTATTAAAGTCTGTCCTCAAGTGTGTTTGCTGGATGGATGTTATCCTCACGTGGCTTTATTCCACTGAATCATCCCCAGGGAGAGTAGAAATGAGGGATGGTGGGGAAAGAGGTCTGGAAACAAATAACACTCTAAATCAAAAAGGCAGGACTTTGTACACAGCCTAGGCCACAGTAACAGCTCCCACAGGGCTGGATTCCTCCTGCGCTTACAATCAAAGAGCAAAGCTTTACGTACATCAGCAACTTTCCTCTTAGTTCCTCAGTGCCTGATGTATGGCAGATGTGTCCCAGAGCTGCTAAGCACTCACACCATCATCCTGCTGATGGCACACATGCCTGAAACTTGGAAGACTCATGAGCAGAGGAGTGGGGGGGAAAGGCATTTATCTGGAGCTCTTACCAGGATAGATTTTGTCCAAAAGGACGGGTTCCATTGGGAATCCCCTGTCCTTCACAGGTGCTCTAAGGGAGATGAAAAGAAAAAAATCACAGATAATCTCAAGGACAAATTGAGTTGCTCAGAGGTTGATCATTAGGAGCTGTGGCATTGATGTAACTTCAACCCTGACTCAAGAGATTCTCACATCAAACACTCCTGCCTGAATTGCCTCCTGTTTTTCTGATACCCAGCCAGCAGGGACTGAAAGGTTTCAGGTCATGGGGAAGCTGTCTCATCCCTCAGTACCTCAGCCCTGCTCTGCTGGCCCCTGCCTGCCTCTGTGCTGGCAAGAGCAACCACAGTCACTCAGGTCCAGATATTGGGAATGCTTCAGAAGTAGATAAATAAAACCTTAATGAGGATCAATAGGAGAGAAAATCCAGAAGTAACGTCCTGCAAAGAGGTGACCCAAACCCAACAGCTGAAAGGGGCAATGGACTCTTTCTTATGATATTTGGCCCAAAATTTGCACAAAGGTTTGTTTCCCCTGAACTCCCAGAGGAAGAAGTGATTGTGAAATGGGGACTAAAGGAGAATGCTCACTTTTAACTCCTGCCTTGCAAAGGCAATTACATGGAAATCCTGTGCTTCCAACAATGCTGCATCAGGGTTAATGTTTCCACTATCTCAGACAATGAAACCCCAAGGATCTGTCAATAAACTGCTGTTGTTTAAACAGCCTCTCTCATTCCCATGCTCAGACATGGTAAAACAAGAGGAAAAGATACCAAACATGATCATTTGATAAATCCTCAGTAATCTGCATAAGATCACCTAAAATTATCCTTCCTCTTTTCTGAAGAAGTAACCACTTCCTAAAACAAATAAGCAAGAATGACACTAATCTGAGCATTCTCCGTGAGGATGCAAAGCACCAACCACATACAGAGACAGGCTCGTCCTGTTAATTCAGAGTGAACTCCCTCCCCTGTGGAGGAAGTAAGGCTGTCAGTCAGAGGCTGGTATTAACTGAAGTAATACCATTAGAAGGGTAGATGTTGCATGGAGCAGTTTACTTAGTGGTCTGCATTGGTGTGTTGGAAAGGACCCAATAGCTGAGCAAAGACAAGATATGAGCATGGGTTTGTTTCTACTAGATCCAAAACCCTCACTGCCTGGTAATGCAAGTCCCAGAAATGAGTTTCCTTAGAATAACATCAAGGGTGGAAAATGTCTGATGTGCTTTTCATGCATTTGTTATTATTGATTATTGACCAAAGGCAGGAAAAGAATCAGGGGTCTTAAATGTCTTGCGTGTGGTTAGGGAGATGCAGTTCTGAGACTGGGTGCTCATCACCGATGAGGCTGAAATGGAACAGCAGGATTTACAAACATGACTTACAGCATGATAAGGAATTCTGCTGGCATTAAAGCAGTGAGCAGCTACTGTTCTTCCAACACAATGCTCTTACAATGAACCTCTAAATGGGGGAAGAGGCTGATTATTCTGTGTTTGGTTACTAGAAAGAAGAGTAGAAGATAGTTCTGTGTTTGCATATGCTGGAAGATGTCCTTACCATTGCAAAGACATGATTTTATTCACTGCTTTCCTCATTGATGCTTCTGATTTTCTGTAAGAGAACTATTGGTGATTTTACTGTGAGATCACTACAAGATACTTGTTCACAGCCCGGTACTGGGCTAGGGCTAAAGCTCACAGCGTCTTACAGATAGTAACAAGAATAAATGCATACAAAACATACAGTGTCTCCAACTTTGTACCAGTGCTAATTAGTTACATACAGAATTATCTTTTAACATCCACTAACAACTCCAAAGTTAGGAGTTAAATAATATTATTCAGCATGTACAGATGTGAAAACGCTTCACCACACCACAGTAATTCCTTCAATCCCACTTTATAAAGATGTTTTGGGGGGTTCTGGGATGGGATATTTTTAGAAAGGTGGCTGTTTGCCCAAGCTGAGGATATGGAGACACAGTTTAGGAAGGGATGCAGGGGCAGGACCTGCATCAAGCCTTCGGGAGCAACTCCCATTTCTGACCGAGTTTTGTGTGCAGTCGAGGCAGTGCAGATATAACAGGCCACTTTGCAAACACTGCAAACCATCGCAATAATGCTGAACTTAGAACTAACCTCCAGCAAGTGCTATTTCGCATCCAGAAAGTGGCTTTGAAGGTGGAATCTAAGCCGTAAAAAACAGGATTAAAAAACTAAGTGACCATTAGACATCTGCTCGTCTAAGCCAGGCTGTAGGATTCCATGTAAGAAGCTGTTGCAGTGTCAGGTTTGGAAACAAAACTTATGGTTTCTGTCTGGCACAACCCCAAGGCTGAGCTTTGCCATTCAGCTGAGCTCATTCCCTGGAGCACAAGCAGAGGACCATGCGTCCAAGGCTGTGATCAGCTCTCTGCTCCTTGCCAATACTCATCTGTCTGCTTTCACCCACAGCCATGCCAGCAGCAAGTGCAAATTAGCAGCAGTGACAGGATGAGCCTGCCATGGAGCTGGAATGGGAGGCAGCAAAATGAACACAGGAGGTTAAAAACATGCACAAGCGAAGGCTGTGGCTGTTCATACACAAATCCCATTCTAAGCCTCTGAAATACTGCTTCCACGGCCCTGCCCAGAGAAATTCCCCTGGGCTCAAGCAACGCAGGGGTCAGATTTCAGTCCCTTACTTATGATCAGTGACTAGAAAGTACAGTTTGACGCCCTTTACCCTCTTGATAACACACAGAGCTACACTGACCGTGGCTTTGCCCAGAGGTGAGGTCACCCCTGTAGCTTCCAGTTTCATCTTGAGACCTCAAGCACTGAGACCACAATTTGGCCTTGAAAAACAGCGGGAAACGTAGAGCAGGGAATTTGACTCACTGTATCTTACACAGGAATTCAGTGACACGTTCTTGGTTGCTCACCTTGCTCATCTGTGCCCATCAACCTTGCTGAATTTGGCTGCGTAAAGATTGATGACAAATGACCTTACACCTGATGAGAGCGAGTCCCTAGCCTGCCTTAAGGGTAGACACATCCCTTTGCATCACACGGCAGCAGTTCTCTGATCACACTTGTCCCTTTAGGAGCTAGCACAACTGGGGAGGTTTTCCTAGTGTTCAGTTTACCTGGGAGAAAGATTAAAATGTGCCCTAAAAGCAAGTCTGTAATAATTCTCATAAAACTAGACTATCTTCCCAACTGAGTACTTCTTTGATGATACAATTTTCCTTAATGCTGATGCTTCCTTCTGCTTTTAGTTGCAATCACAAAATCCTTATAATCCAGTACAAGCTAATTACGTGGATCATTGCCATAGGAGGCATTTGCTTCACCTCCCAGGAAATCATTATCGGTCACGATCTGCCATTTGCTCTGATGGCTTTGTTTATGTTATCATCCAAGTGCCATAAAATCCATATTTATCTTTCCCTAGTGGCATCTAAAGATTGATTAGTAGTAGCCAGCAGAGGCTTTACTTGGCAATTAGCACTCAGTGACTTTAACACTTGCATTTGTCAGGAAGGTCTTCTGAACTTCCTGCATGACCTAAGTAGCCACTAGCTCTGGGGTCACTGGAGTGGTCCCTGCTGATCTAGGGAGAGCTGAGAGTTCAGGTAGATAATATTGCTGCTGTTTGCAATTGGATGATGAAATGCATTATGAGCAGGAAAAAAACCATGCATTTGCTGTTCCCTAATACCAGATACAAGTCCAGGGGGGTCTGACAGCTCCTGACTCAATTCTTGCCAAGGGAAGTCCGGTTTGGTGGAAGCCAAGATCAAGAGCTCTACCTGAAGTGGCCTGTCTTCACTTCTGCTGAGGAAGATGGATCGCTTGTTCCTGCCATGCCATTGGCAATGCCCTCCCTCCCCAAACAGCAAACAAACATTCATGAATGTCTGGTATGTCTGATGCTAATGAAGCTGACGCCCAGCCAGGGCTTCACTGCATTTGAAGGAAAGCTTGTCATTGGCTTCACAGGGCTCCTGGTGTGTCCTTGGGGCTTTGAGCAACACAAGCCCGTGCAAAACTTTGTGTTGTGGATATGCCAGCTTTTGCTGACCCTGCAAGAGCAGGGCCTGCTAAAAGAGCTGGTTAAACAGTACAAAAGCATTTAGCAGCTGTCCTTGCAAGCAAAAGGTTTTCAAGTTAGGATGAATAATGGAAAAAAAACCCAAATCTCTAGTCAAATATTCAAGTACCTGCTAAGTACCTGCCAGGTTCCTCATAGATCTGTCTGCTTGTTGCATTCATTTTACCATTGAAAAACAACATATGAAAGGTGACAGTGGAAGCTGTATTATTAGTTATTACTCACTGCATGTCGTGTCCAAGCCAGCATTTCAGTTGCCAAGGAAGTAGACATAATGCGCTGAGACCAAGAATGTATTCACAGTGGTGAACAATGTGGTGTAAGCGGGCCTGTAAATTACCTCCGCTTGAACCAGGTAGCCCAGCAACAAGCATCCTGCATCAGTCAGAAATGAAACGAGTCACAAATAAAAGTTAATCAGCCAAAAGTCCCCAGAAATATGTTTCCTTACCCAGAAAGTGCCTACATTGAAAACTGAGGCTGGGTGGAGCTAATTTCAGGTGTCTCTGCAGCCTTTCTTTTCCCTTTATAGCACAAAACTCTGGCATGAGTCCATTTTACAGGCTCAGAGGGGTTTTATCCCCAACAAAGCTTCATCCTTCCATGGCAGCTGAGCCTCAGAAGTGCACTTTGTCTCCAAAATAATGCCAGATAAAGGTGCTGTTGCCTCTAGTACAGTAACTTCTCAGCACTGATGAGCTGGCTGAAAGCAAGATTGAACAGAAGAGCAGTATAACAGTATGTGGCGTTACGCTATCAGCCTGTGCAGCTTTTTAAAGTTGTAAAGATTAATATTTAACTTTCAGCTAACTTTTATGGTAAAGATATAAATAAAACACGCTTCTAATACCTGATGTAGATTATACTGTGCGTAGCCTTAATTAGGCCAAAGTCTTCCACAGTGTGAAACATGTATTGGGCAGGCTTCTACACTGATACAACAGCTTTTTAGCTACTAGGATTCCTCTGGCTTCACACAAATTACACAAGGGAAGAATAAGACAGACACAGCCCAAATGCTGTCACTGTCTTTTGGACTATGAGTGCTACAAACACTGCTTACTGGGAAACGGGCTTCATCTTTATCAGCACAGCAAGAGGTACATGTGTGTGAAGGTGACCAGCAGTGTGAGGAGCAGTCTCTCCCTTTCAGATGAAGACATGAGCAATAGCAGGAGCTTCTCCTCTGCACTGTTTCTCACATCTGCAGGAAACTGCATGAGATTGAATCCTGCAGTGCCTGTGAACCAGCTTGTGCCATTAGTAGGATCAGATCACTTCCTCCTGGGTTACTTACTGACAGCAAAGGCAAAAATGCGAAATTCCTCCATTATTCCTCCACAATTTATAATTGTTCCAGAGGGATTTCTCTCTCCACCTGCTCAATGATGTAGTATGGATTAAACAGCTTATTGATATTTATGTTTAGGAAGCAACTTCATGGTCCTCTAGATTTAAGTCTGATTTCCTCTAACCATTTTATCTGCCCAGCTGTCCAGCACTTTCACACTGTTTATGGAATGGCCTGGTCACCTGGCTGCAGAGGGGACACTGACCAGGCTTATCAGTTAAATGAGTTACTTTGGTAACTCACCATTGCTTTTCCAGTAAATTCCATTCCCTCGTTCATGCATATCTCCCCAAAGGAGGAGATCAAAGTGGCTGCACCCAAGTGCTGACCTGTGCAGAACCCCAGTGCTGTCTCTGAGCTCACTCCGTGATGAGCCTGTTACAGATGGGAACCCAAGGCCCGGGGTAGGGCCTTGGTCAAGGTCACACACAAAGGCTGAAAATCAGGGATCTGGTCCGTGCTTTTCAAGGATGATGCAGCTTCCCCTCCAGCCTATCCTTTAGCTAAATTACATTCTACACATATAAACCTCTGTAACTTCAGAGGTGACTTCCTTCTATCATTTCTGTACCCACAGCTACACATCATTAAAATTCCTGATACTTATATTAAAATTAATGAATTTATCTCACAGCATTCAACAGTGTACACCATTATTATCCTCCTGTAAGGCTTAAGCTGTAAAATTACATCCTGACTGCAACTGCAACGTGCTCTGGGAAAAACAATTATGCTTTTGTAGGAAAACGCGAATTTCAGGATTCCACAGCAAAAGTCCTGAGAGAGAACAAAGACCATCTCCAGGATGCCTTCCCCTGTGTTTGACACACAGTGGTAGGAAGGTCTGGTTTCCAAAACCTTTCTTCCAATGAAGAAACATTGCATTTATCATGTTGGAGTGATAATACTTCAAGAAGACATTGCAAGGCAGCTAAAATAGCTACAGCTGTAACTTAAGCTGTTCCATCTATTCCTGCTATTGTGATTGATACAGTTTGCACTCTCTGTAGCGTTTCTTATTCATAGAAGTGTAACTGTTAACCAGGACTTTGATTCAACTATTTTTATGAAACATGGAAAACGTCAAATTGGAGAGAATTACACTGAATTAAGTACTAAAGCATCTGTAGCTCAAGAAAATCAGCATCTTACAGCAACACACTGATGATTTTTCTGAAACAAAGCAGGTAAAAAGATACTAAAATCAGTTCTTAAATGCTGTATGGATGTATCCATAGACCGAAGGAAATCCCAACAATTACAGGGCAACAGTGCCATCTTGAGGTCACCAGAGAATTAAAGAGGAAAGCTGCAGGATTGCTCTAAGGCGTTTTACTTTTAAACACAGAAATTACTGTATATTCCAAGGTGGAAAAGCCCAAACCTCTCAAGCCATTTTCTTAACTTGACCTTGTTAAAAGCAAAGCATCTGCAAACACCAGCCATGACACAACACTGCTTTTCCTGAGCCATTCATTAGTGATTTATGTTCTTGGTTGCTTGGTTTCCTCCTTTCACTCACTGGTACCTGCATTTTGAGGATGACAAAACCCACAGTTAATTCTTTTATTCTACATATTTTCTGCAGATCAGTCTAAACCCACTGCACGCTGTAGCTTTGGATATTCCACAGATCCCCATGAAGGCCAGTAGAACTGCAGTGCAGATTTTCTGGTTGAGGCCTAGAAGGGAAAGATCTGAGTGTACAAACATGGTGAGAAAGCAGGGATTCACCCTCCAAATACATTTGAGAGCTGCTTTGGCTCTGCATACACACCAAACACTTCCACCGCACTTGAGCACTAGGTCATGGCCACTAGAACACTGGCAGTTTTACACTAGCAACCAAAATGGTCATATTCTAACTTCTAAGCAAAGGTTGTGGTGAAAAGAGTAACCACGAGGCAAGCAATTACGATAAGCTCTGCCGGACAGTTAAGAATCTAATAGAGCAGAACTATTGCTTAGTGACACAAGAAAGGAGTATAAGCTCCTCAATAACACTATGCTGACCCATACCACTCATTAGTCAGCATTAAACTACAAGTAGCCTACGTTGATAGGTCCCCCACTTAGTGGGAAGAGAGAACACAAAATCTCCTTTTGCTCTTTTGATAGTTAAAAAGCAAGTGCAGACAAAAAGCCACTGATTTTCTACATACGCAAAATATACTTACCAAGTACTGTACATTACATACAGCATCATTTTAACCTACAGATTGTGAATCTCTGTACATTTTTCATCTAAAAAGCTTCTCACATCAGTTTAAAAACATCTGATTTACTATATTTGTTTCTTTTTTTTCAGAAGAATAAGATATGGTAAACAGGAGGACCAAATATTCTTTCTTAATACAATTCATAATCTCTTACGCTTTGATCATGAGCTACCTATTATAGACTAAGAGTTTGTACAACAGCTGTTAAAATAAACTCTCGGTAGGCTCCAGCTTAAAAGAGGGAGGCACAAGCAGCTTCCAGCAAATTTAATCGACTTTCAAAAGTTAAATACTTTACACCTGTGTTATAGTTTCAACGCATGCCCAAGATTTGCCTGCTCTTCAGTTGATAGTTCTTTTCCAGTTCAGCCAGTGCTTGAGCCCGTAGGTTGGCAGCATACAGACGTTTTCTGAGATCAGAGCATTTCCCTTTAGAAAGGGGATTGTTTTCCAAATTAACAGAAGTCCCAGCATTCTCCTCACTTCCAAAGTGTACTTTCTTCTTGGTTGTAGGGAAGGGCAGCAGCAGTGGGTTATCTTAGAATTCAAACAATAAAGACTGCATTAGTGCATCTTTCAGCATTTGTTGCTTAGCTCATATTTTTTAAGCCTGCTACCCATTTTGCTATCTAGCTGTGGCTTTAAGTGATCTAATTAAATGCATTTCATAGCAACAAATCTTTTCCATTTTTCCTTTCCAACAGTAACATAATGCAGTTCCAATGGGAAGTAGAGTATGGTGGTCCCAGCTACAAAGCACTTTGTCTTTCCTTCATAGCAGGGGCAGACCCAACCTGCCCCTCCTACATTACCCACATTATTACAGCTCTATCCTTGTATTAAGTCAATGGGATACAAACTAGGCTCTGCCTTCATGAATAGTGGGCTTTAGTGCATTTAAAATGATCAAGTTACTTTCCACTGCAGCCTCCAGCACAGGAATTTTTGTGTTATAGCTCTGCTTTAGCTGTATAGAATGGCCCCAGTGAAAAGGCAGTTAGCTTGGTTTGTTCTTAATGACTCAGGGTACAAAAACTACCATCAAAAGCTATTAAAACAGCTGAGTTGCTTCTCATAAAAGCCAAGTTCACAAAGCTCATCTTAAGGTGTGGGGGTTTACTTTCATTTTTAATCAAAGGCCTAACTATCCTAATCTCAACACTGCTGAAGCCTTAATTTTCGGTTCATTAGGCCGGAACAAAGATGCAATAACCAAGTGAGAAGGGCCAGACTGAAGAGGCTAGTGAACATTTCAGCACTTTACAGTTTCATATTGGTAAACTATATCTGTTTTAACATTGAAGCCTTCCCTAAGAACCAGAAAACCCCTGCAAAAATAGGGTAGTGTCTAGGACCTTTGTCTTAGAAACCAGGATTTTTGGTTTGCCATTTTACTGTAAAATGAACCACACACGGACTTTGAGGACAAATTAGGGGGTCTAAGCTGTGTGGTACGTTCAAAAAATACAGTACTATTTGAACAACTGAAGATAACAGAAGCAAGTGATGTCAGTAATGTACTGGAGAAATGCTTAGCTCATTCATTTCAGAATAGGGAGACTTCTAGAAACAGTATTACAAGAGTGCTGTGGAATGAAGAGTAGCAAACACTGTGACAAGTGCTTAATCAAGTGATCTACAGCTATTGCAAGATCTGGTCAGTCTTTTAACAAATATGTTCACTTTTCCAAATTACCCTGCTCAAGGTAGTAACTGCTTGAAGTGGCTGAAAAATTAATAGCCCTGTTAAGGTCAAAATACCTTGTAAAGGGGGAGGAGATGCAGAAGAGAACTGAAGCAAATGCTGAAGCTTATTGAACTTCAGTCATCCAGCATTAGAGGCAACATCAGAAAAGCCCAAGGCAAGTTTGGTTTTTATATTCTTTCATGCATCAAAGTCAGACAATATGTTGAGAGGTGGAATTCTCAAAACTGACAGGGATGTTGGAAACAGCTCAAGTACCACTAACATCTGGTGGCATTTAGCTTGTATTCTTGCATGCTGGGACAAGCACTTGAACTTCAGTTTTATTTGTATTTGAGGCTGTGAGATGCTTATCTTGCTTTATCTGACCAAAACTAAATGAAGAGGTTATTGCTGCATGTTAAAGAGTGTTCATGTTTCTTTGTTCTAGAGCACTACTTAAGATCCAGCCATTTAATATTCTAACCACTATTTCAAAATGCATTGAGATACTGGAATTATTTTTACCATTACAAAATGGGTGCAATGAAGAGATGATACTACATCTTATGATAGTGAGGACTGAACAACTAAGAAGGCCAAAGTGGATGTCAGATACTGATGGCATAACAAATACTCCAAGAGAGATAGACTACAGGTAGTCAGGAAGTACTACAGCACATTTTTAAAGCCCCCCCCCCCCCTTCGGTGTGTTAAAAACTGGAGTATGCTCATAATAGTTAGTATTTATATGCAAAGATCTAAAGATCTTGTATGATGCACCAATCACAGCCGGGTCACTTGCAACAAATATTATTTCCCACCAAATTTTTGGAAGCTGAAGAGATTAAAAATGTGAAATTTTATTAAAATTAACTTTATCAAAAGCCTGTAAAAAGACATCCATAAATACAATAATTGCAGCTCTGAGTAAAGGCTGGGTTACAAGTCAGCACTCCTATCACCTTACAACAAGAG